TTTCAAAATTCTGAATCTATAAAATGGCACCAGGCAGAAGCCTTCCTGTTGGAGCCAACTTTAATGGGTGATTCACCAGAAGTCACCATCGTCGTTACTTTGAGACTAACCTGTTATCTGAAGAGCAGGCAGGAAATTATGGCAATCATACTCTTTGTTCCTCTCCCATCAGGTATTTTCTGGGTTCAAATGCAGAGCTCATAAACGTGAAAGCAGAGTTCAGAGTCCTGCTTTCTTCTGCTACTGAGGATTTTTCAAAATTAGCAGCCATGAAGACTCCAGCCAGTCTCCAGAAGACTTAAGCCAGCTGTGAGGGCTGTGTACATATTTGGGTCATTTATAAGTTGAAGTTTTAAGTTAGATTATTCATTTATGTAATTTATTTCTTTACTTATTGACACAGGGTCTCACTGTGTAGCTTTGGCTGTCCTGGGAGTCACTATATACACCAGGCTGGCCCCAGACTCACAGATCCACCTCCCTCAACTTCCAGAGTGCTGGAATAAAAGGCATGTGCCACCATGTCTGGAGGAAATTTTTACTTATTTTTTATGATTATTATTATAAGGGAGCACACATGGAAAGGCACATGTGGAAGTCAGCAAACCACTTTATGAAGTGAGTTTTCTCCTTCCTGTTTTACGTGGTTCCAGGTATTGAATCCACTTCAGCAGGCTTGCACAACAAATACCTTTACCCACTGAGCCACCTCACTGGCCCCAAAGTTGGAATTTTTTTAACTAAGTTGTAACATTTATCTATAAAGAAAGAAATACAAAGACTAACCTTTCTCCATTTAAAAAAAAAAAAACCAAACAAAAACAAAAACCTTAAGAAGACTGTATGGCACGTTAAATTCCAGTATAAATCTGGTCCACATCAAAATTATCAGAGAAGTGCTTCAAAACCACGGGGCTCCTGTCATCACCAAGTCCCGACCTTTGCCAGCCATGTAAGACTCTATGACCAGAGAAACCCTCCCAAACCTTCTTCAGATCTATGCAGGAGCCAGATCTCCAGCTCTGAAGATACAGGCAGGAAGTCAGGACATGTGACCAGAAGAAACAAACAGGTGGCATCCAGTGATTGCATCTCATCTTATTTACTTGATAACTTAATGAACCCATTTCATTAATGGATTTGAGGGGACCCAAGGACCCTCAGTCTGATGCTTGATTTGGCCTTCTGTGTAGTCCAAAGGAGAAACAAAGAATTCTGGAGCATTTTTCATATTTAGACAGGTGGAGTGAGCGTGTTCTATAATAGTCTTATAAGTTAATAGGAGGTACTTTCCTCATTGTTAACAACACACACACACACTCCTAGGAGAACAGTCTGAGATGCCCCCACCCCCAGTGAGGAGGTCCTGGAGACAGGAGGATGACGGGTGATGTTGCATTTGCAGGCAGGTGGCAGAGGGGTGATGCTGGAGCTTGGCTCCATTCGCCTTTTATTCAGTCGGGGACCACAGCAAATGAAACACTGTTGTTCTAAATAGGGTAGATTATCCCACCCTAATTACCCAGTCTGAAACTCACAGACCTGCCCAGAGGTTTGTCTCCTAGGTGATAGATCCTGTCAACTTCACAATATTAGCCATCACAGAGAGGATCTGAATTTAAAGAACAACCTGCCATGCTGGATTAGCCCTGTATGGAACTCAGAACTCTCCCGCTGAGTATACTGCTCATCCTCTCTAGACATCTCTATGGAAGTATCACACCATCATCATGCAGTGAAGTTGAGACAGCATTGAGATTACTTCCTGTACCTCTATATTCAGTAGAAGATACTAGTCTGTGATGTCAACTCACTGTGGAATCATAGGCCCGCAGAAGGAAGTTCAAGGTCACCTGCAGTGGAGCAAGAAGATTTCAGAGAACTTGTCAGGCAGGAGGAGTGGTCAGCCAGCTAAACCCAGTCCTCCAGAGTCTCCTAGTAACAAAATAGCCTCAAAACAGGAAACGCTTTCTAATGCTTGAGAACAACAAGAATACTGTTTGCATTTTTTTTTCAGTGCTATTTGGCCTTCCTTGCTGCTAAATGTTTTGTTTTGGTTGATTGGTTTTGGCTTTTTGCTCCTTACCAGGAAGGACAATTTTTACATGAGGTACAAAATTCAACAGTAGAAACGTTTAAACTTTTATGGAGTGAGGAAACTCTTGAAGGATTTTTCTGGTTCATCTAAAAATCTTAGTTTGGCTAAATACGTAGAAGCTGAGTTTTCATGCAGGCATTGCATGTGACATTATCTGTCATTAAGTTCCTTCTAAGTAAAATGAGTCATGACTGCTCACCCGTGAGATGTCTGTTCCCATACTTGGGTATGTCTTGTTTCCATCTAATCTGTATTTTTAAGCAATCGTCTAGGGAAACAGATTTCAGTAAGTCACTAAAAACGCTCACATGATGAGTTGGGTAAAACATCACTTCCTTTTATCAAGTAAAAGTATATATGCAACTTGGCCAGAATAATATCGTCATAGTAACATGTAAGTATGCCTTTTTGCTAGGGCCAATAAGATTCTAGACAAGAATAAAACTGGGAGACTGAAGAAATGACCCAAGAGGGGAAGAGACCTAACTGCTCTGGTTCAGTTTCCAGCACTGCCTCTAACTCCAACTCCAAGGGACTCTTGACCACTTCTTCTGGCCTCCAGGCATCTACACTTGAGCATGCGAATATACATACCATACACACGCAATACATGCACAAATAAAAAATGAATATTTTTAAACATGGAAATGATAAATAGTTCATATAACTATCAAAGAGAGATTGATTGGTAGGAGGCAGGAGGAAGTATGAATTCGAGACTGTCCAGGCTGATGTAACTCCCAGACATCTTGGATGCAGGCAGTAGTCTTTTCTGTACAAAATTCCTACCAGTGAAACTTATCTCAACATGGTCACTGTGTCACTGAGAATACAAAGTTTTGTAGCACATCTTGCTTAAAGTAATATAGAAAACATAAGAAATAATGTATCTAGCTATAACATAGGCAGTAGATAATTGTCTAAGGCTGCCATAAGTTAACTTTTCTATATGCAAAGACATCATAATCAAGGCACATTATAGAAGAGAATTCACTTGGGACTCAAGGTTCGAATCCAGGAGGTGGAGTTAGCAGGTGGCAGCAACTAGAACAGCTCAATTCACAGCTCACATCACAAACCTCCATCAGGAGGCTCAGAGAGCTAACTCAAAACAGCATCTTTCTAAACCTGAAAGTCTGAGTCCCACCCCCCACCCCTGGCATACTTCCTCCACCAAGGCCACACCTCCTGATCCTGACCAAACAGCCACCAACTGGAGACCAAGTTTTCAGATGCCAGAGACATCTCATACAAACCATAGCTTTCTATCTTCCCAGGTGCTCACCTTAGAGCTACAATATCAACTGACCTTGAATTTCTTTTAGATGAGGCAAGAAGCAAAAAAAGGGGGGTGGAGGGAGTAAGTATCCACAGAGAGAGCAGACTCCATCCACAAGGAAGCCTTCAAGGTAATATAGAGGCTGTCAGCATAAATTTTCAGAGAAAGCTTGTTTCCACATCACATGGACTCTGTGGTCTGTGTTTCCTAATGTGGAAGAGGCAAACAAGGCTGCAGAAATTCAGGCTGAGGACATATTACAGAGAATTCATAATAAATGGAAAAGTGAAAACAATCCATGCAAACTACTTCCAGTTTGGAGTTAGCGGTAGAGGGTTGCAAAGCTGTAGAACTCAGTGATAGCAGGCACAGAGATGGTGCACCTTCTGGGACATGAACAACCCAAGTCTGTTTGGTTAGCCAATGCATACAGAATGAACATGTTTAATTTGCCTTAGAAAACAATGACGGAAGGTTAGCCAAATGCCCAGGATTCTCAGAGATGAGTGTGGGCGAGCAAGAGTAGCAACCAAAGTAAACAGTTGGTGGTTAAGTTAGAAAACTCCTCAGGACATGTGTTGCCTGAGGAAAGAGGAGGGAGGACTGAAGATATGGTCTCAGACAAACACATGATATCATTGTCCAATATGACTCATGGCCAGTATGTCATTCTCTGTCAGTAGTCAGCATGACTCCTGGGTTTGGAAGCTCAAGATGGTAATGGTGGGGGCACCGTGAGGGAGAGACAGAGCTACAGTGACTGTAGCTTGTAGTCTGAATGGAACACGTTTGTACGGCCCTGAGGAAAGATAGCCAGGCCCCTGTGAGCATGAGATAACTCACAGGGTGGGGAGGAAATGGCTGGAGGGAGGAGGTCTAAGGTGTCAAGAGGGAAAGGACTTCCTTTTTCATTTTTGTTTATTCATTTTGCATGTGAGTGTCAGGACAAATTTTGGGAGTCAATCCTCACTTGCTGAGGCAGTTTCTCTTATGTTTTAGGTGACAGGCCAGCATCCAGCTTCTGGGTGATTGCCCAGTGCTGCCTCCCATCTCCCTGCAGGAGTGCTGCCATTACAGATTTGCACCACAGCACAGGGTTTCAGAGTGGTCAGGTTTGCACAGCACATGCCTTTACCCCTGAGCCACATTCACAGACTTATTTGCTTGTTAAAACACTAGTTCTCAGGGCAGCAAGATGGCTCAGCAGGTAAAGGCACTTGCTATCACGTCTGACAACCTGAGATCAATCCCCAGGTCCCACATGGTGGAAAGAGTCTCTTAGGCTCTGCATCCTGTGGCACGTGCATGCCCTTCCATATATATGTATGTATACGCCATCCCGTACATATGTGTATATGCATGTGTATATATGTATATGCATGTGTATATATGTATGTGTGTACATATATATATATATATATATATATATATATATATATATATATACATTATATATATTACTAATTGTTCTCTGAAGGAGACTTTGTGGACCAAAGAAGGAGGTAGATTCTGTCCTCTGAATTTGGTTTTTGGAAGGCAGGGGAGAACATTACAACTTGTTTCCTTTCCCAAAGCCTGATGATTGTTACTCTTATTTTTAATGGCTATAATTTTGTTTTACAGGTCTGCTTGGACTTTGGAAATGGACTTCACTTTGAGGTGAGGAACTAAGAGGGATTTGGGGAACCCAGTGCCATAGTTTTCTGGTGAACAGATTAACTGTGCCTTACTTGATTGGAAATCTACACTGCCTTAAAGCTGGACCTTCCCATTCAAATAAGCACAGAGGAACACACATCAAAGAAGGCTCAGTACATACTTTATTTATAAATCAATCAATCAATCCCCTGCCAGACTTGGTACTCACATTTCTTTGGTCCTATTACTCAGGAGGCAGTGGCAGGTGGGTCTCTATCAGTTGGAGGCCGACCTGGCCAACATAGTGAGTTGAAAGCTCTTTACCAGTAAGTATGAACTTGGAAGTCGTGGAAGGTTTTCCCTGAGCCATTAATGAGGAATTAGTAAAGGATAGGACTTCTACAGCTTTACATTGTAAGTTTTAATCATCTGTTTCTTAGCATGAGAGTGAGTCAGAGAGAGAGCAAGAGAGAGGGAGGGGAAATATGATCAAAATATAGTACATGAAAATTTGTAATTGATAAAGTGTTTTCATTATGATCACATTATATTAAGAAAAAACATATAGAAACAAATTAAAATGAATAACAGCATAAATATCCCAAAATAAAACCCACGCTTACTTAGTGTAACAACACAAGTTAAAGGTAGAGGAGCCAGCCACGCAGGGCCATTGTTAGGATCCCAGTAAGCACAGCCTCACCTGCAAGGCTCTAATTTATATCAGTGGTTTCAGAAGAGTAAATCCTAAAACCCACAGGTGTATATTTTTAACCCAAAAGTCATCACAGAAAGTGAATCTAAGTCGTCAGCTAGTGAGAAAGGGAAGCCCTTGACTGGTATTGTCTCTAGCCTGTGAGAGACTAGGGCGTTTGTCTGCCTTTTGACAGCCTCACTTTGGAAATCTGTTCTATGGAGAGCTGCCACTTTAACAACTGGGAGGCCCTTCCTCATGTGTCTGTGGAGTTTAGTGGAATACATACATTTCTTTTGTAAAAGTGAAGGTTAAAAAACTTTGAAGCATCAGAGGCTGAAGAGATGGCTCAGTGGTTTAGAGCACTGGCTGTTCTTCCAGAGGATCCAGGTTCAGTCCCCACACCCACATGGCAGCTCATGACTGTAACTCCAGTTCCAGGAGACTGACACCCTTATAGTAATGCACAAAAAATAAAAATTAAATAAATATTTTTAAAGTTTCAAAATGTATCTTGTTTTGCGCTATTTTGTTTTTTTAATCAGGTTTATTTTAACTAATGCCTTAATATGTGTACTATTTTTAAGCTTAGGAAATTACAGAATGTCTCACCAAGGTATGTGATAACTAAAGATAATTCCATTAACAGGTCTTCAACACGAGAAGTGAAGGCAAACTGTTACCCAAGCGCACTCACTTGGTCCGTCAGAAGAGGGCCTGGATCACTGCCCCTGTGGCTCTTCGGGAGGGAGAAGACCTTTCCAGAAAGAACCCAATTGCCAAGGTACCAGCTCCAGAGGAATATGGTGTGTGTGATGGACAGGTGGCTAAGGCTGTGGCATACAAAAATTACTAGGTCCACTTTCCAATATAGGGAGAATCAGGTGATGTACATAGCAAGTTTTAGAATATTCAGGATGCGTTTGAAAATGACTGGAACTTACCTTTTAACAGAAAATGCAGAAGACATTTGCAATATACATGATTTTAGGATTTAACTCAGCTACAACTTGAGGAATATGACATTGGGCCAACCTTAGTCTAATAAAAAAAAAACTTACAATATTCAAAAGAGGGTAATATTAAAAACAGGCAGCCTGAGGAAGTGTGACTGTGACATGCGCCCTCCTAGGCTTGGGACAGCCCTGTGTGCCTGTCCTCTTGGGGAGTTAGTGGCTCACAGCTCTCTTCTCCCCCAGGAGGACTCCAGTTTTCAAAGTTCATGGCAGTACCAGCATGGAGTGTTCCAAATCCCAAAGTGAGGTTAGCTGTACAAACCTGGATCCGCAACTCCACCTGTCGGTCTACTTAAAACTGTTCTTTATACCCTGACCATTTCTGTGCCTAGCACTGTAATTCCATCTAAGTCAGTGGTGCGGGATTCTTGAGCGACCCTTTCACAGGCATGGCCTAAGATCATGAGAAAACACAGATATTTACATTATGATTTATAACAGTAACAAACTTACAGCTGGGAATTGGCAATGAAATAATTTTATGGTAGGGGTCACCACAACATGAGGAACTGTATTAAAGGGTCACAGCATCTTAGAGGGTAAGAAGAACAGGCCTAGGTTTTCCTTCCTTCCTTCTTTCTCTCTTTCTTTCTTCCTTTCTTTCTTTCCACTGTGTTTACTTATTATTTTCACATTGGTTTAGTGGGAAACCTTCACACTCATATCGAGGTCAGAGAACAACTGTGAGAATGTCTCTCCCTCTGCCATGTGTACTCTGGGGACTGAACTCAGGTCATTGGGCATGGCATCTTCCTAAACATCCTTTAGGTTTGAACAGCTTTACACATATCTGTAATGTTTATTTCCCTCCCCACCACCTTCTGGCTCCCTCTTCCTACATTGTCCACAGTGACTACACTGTTAGAAGAAGACACTGTCTCCTCCAACAAGCATAAACAGTCGTGAGCTCCTCAGGAAGCATGGAACTTGTGGACCCTGCTCCTATCCACAGTGGAAAGTTTAAAAAAAAAAAAAAAAACCTCCAGCAATTACTATCCATTTTACCCTGAAATACAGAACAAATCACCTATGTCTCTTCAGCGCCCATGCTTAAATCATCTCTGCCTCTCACCTGTCTTCATGATCTCATTCTTGCCAAATCCTCACCCACATGAAGCCCTTTCTCTGCAATTAGCAAGAGACACGTGGTCTGTGGAAGCTCAGGGGACTGCTGGCCTTGGCCTCTGCCCGTCCTGGATTCCCACCCCCTATTTCTCTGTCCCCTCTGTACTGGCCAGGGTTCACTCCCGCTGCCTTCTACCTTGGGAACTCGCTGTCCCCTCCTCCTGGAGTCTGTTCCCCACGGGGATTTTGGTGCATGACATCATCATATCTCTGCTCAAGTATCACCCCCTCTCCATTCTCTTTTCTCTCTGACCTTTTATCCTGTGTGAATTTGGCTTACAGCGTATTTGACTGCTAGACATTGGCCAAACACTGCTAGCTTGTTATCTGCCTCACTCATTAGCATAGAAGTTCCACATGGGGCTTCGACCTTGGGACTCAGTGCTGCTTGTGCCCTGCATGTGCAGGGGCTGTTCAGTAGACATCGTGTAAATGTCTACTCACCTGCATCCAAGGTTGATCTTCAACTTTCCGATTGTATATGTGAAGGGCTGCTATAAGGGAAATACAGCTATAGGGAAATACAGCTATAGAATCAAAGACAATAGTTTCTTTTAACTAGCACCATGTCATTTTTAGTTTTAAACATAACCACTGTCTTTCATTTTTATCTTATGTGTATGTGTGTTTTTCCCACATGAATGTGTGTTTACCACATGCATGCAGGTGCCCATGGAAGCTAGAAGAGGGCATTGGACCCCCTGGAACTAGAGTTACAGATACTTGCTAGCCACCATGTGGGTGCTCGGACCCCATCTCAGGTCCTCTGGAGGGGCAGTCAGTGCTCTTAACCACTGAGCCATCTCTCCAGCCCCAACCACACTGTTTATGGAAAACCTTCTACTTTCACCATAGCTTCACAGTGCCGCGTGTGTGCAAGCAACGGGCTGTTTTTGTTGGGCTTTGCTTGCCACTGTCTTGGCTTTGCTATCTCGGTCATCAGTTCTTTCAGTAGGTTTTCATCAAACAAACTGACCCTTAAAAGTTTAACAGGTGTTTGCTGTTCTTGTTCATTTTAATTACACGAGTCGTTAAAAGTAAAAATTTCACAAAAAGCAAGGGGTTGGAGAGGTGACTTGCTAGGTTAAAATGTGGTTCCTGCGTCTGCCCACCCGCCAAGGGAGGCCGCTGTTCTGAGAGGCAGAGGCACAGGAAGTTGTCTGTGCTCTCCCCACCCCAGGCTATGTGAAGCCGCTGGACCCTACTCAGGGGTGAGGGGACGAAGTCTGAGGTCCCAAGGGGAGCCAGAGCTAGCTTGTATGGTTCTCAGGCTCTTGGGCCCCCAGGCACCACTGGAGGGCCTCGGAAGGGCTGAGAACAAAGTGGAGAAGAGGAGGCGTATGGGCAGGATTGGCCTGCTGCCGAAGGGGAGAGGGGGAAAGAAACTCTGGTTGTGTCCGGCTGGGATGAGAGTCCTTGGCTTGGTCGCTGTTGCTCGCTTGGCTTGTTGGGTTTGGAGGTCTCCATGGCTGGGAACACAGAGAGGTCTTCTGCGGGAGATGAGATGGCGGCTCTGTAGACAAAGGCCTGCTCACTGTTCCCCGAGGCAGGTCCCAAAGGAAACAGTCCATGGCCTCAAGATGTTTATTGTCATGGCGGGAAGTAGATAAGAACTGTACCCTCTATTCTCAGAGCTGGTCCGAGGTTAAATACCTTTTGCAAGGAGAAGGGTCTGAGAAGGAATGTTTAATTGGCTACACCCCTCTGGCCTTTAGGTATCTCATTAATATAGAGATCTGTCTTGAGGCTCTGTGACCCGTAATCATGCCCTCTACCTGTGGAGGGGCATTGTCCTACGTGACTGAAAGACCCAAATCTATGGAGGGCTTTGGTCTTGTATCAGGAGCCTGGAGTCTGGGAGCCTGGCAAAACACATGCCATCCTTTAGGATCACCTGGGGCCTCTGGCAATTTTTAGTCTGTGCTCTACCAGAAACTGGGCTGCCTTTCACTGTCCTAGTGGCTCAGTTCAGGAAGAGCACATGCTGCTCTTTTAGAGGACCTGAGTTTGGTTCCCAGCACCTCACATGGCTCACAACTGCCTGTAACTGTATCTCCAGGAGACCTGACACCTCCCTCTGATGCCTCTGCACTCACATGCACAAACTCCCCCACCCCCATCCCACTATACAAAATACACCTTTAAAAATACTTTACACAGAAGGCAAAATATCGAAGGAAGTTACCCCACTTTCCAAACTCGCCCCCTAAAAGTAATACTCTCACAGCAGAAGCCATACCCCCAACCCTGGTGTATGCTGGAAAACCGCAGGAAGAACGTGTCATTAATCCTGAGGTTTTAGGATGGAGAGCTGGATGGGAAGGTAGAGATGGATGTCTTCAGTGATGTGTGACAGCAGATGACAGAGATTGAGAAGCCTGGGGAGACACACAGGGAAGTACAGTTAATGCAAACGTGGGTAGGAATAAGAAGATCACTTATGGAGAAAAAAGAGGCTGACTGGAGGGGGCGCAGCAGTTAGAAACAAAATTGATTCGCTCAAGGCAGACAAAGTGCCTAGCTGTATTCAGCCTGATCTGGGAAGATTCCTGTTCATATCTTCCAGGCAGTTGGGTGGTTTTATAAAAATTATTTTTGATTAAGTTTTTACTATATGTGTCAAATTTAAAATATACTCCCAGCTCTTGGAAGATAAATCAGGAGTTCAGGTCATACTCAGCTGCATATCAAGTTGGAGGCTAGCCTGAGCTATGTGAAATCCCATCTCATAAAACTTATTTCCCATGAGTGTAGCTCAGTAAGAGCTCTCCACTAGCATGCATAAGTCCCTGGTTTCTACACTAGTCCACCAAAGAAAAAAGAAAAAAAAATCTACTTCCCCTCCAAGACATAGCCAACTGTATCTTAATTCTACAATATTCCTAAAGGGTGAGCACTGTCCTATTCTCCATTTTACAGATAAGAAAACTGAGGCCCCTAGTGGAGGAGGACGTACTTAATCCTGCTGCAACTTAATATCCAAGGGTGGGGTGGTAGCCAAGGGAGGGACTTCTCCTTGAGGAGAAGGGGAGGGGGTAATGAAGGGAGAGATTTGTGAGTGTGGGACTGGGAAGAGAGAAGTGGGGCGGGCAGGAGGGGGAGTCCTGTGGCAAGAATATAAAGTGAATAAATAAAAAAAAGGAAAAAGGAGAAGAGAGGAGAGGAGAGGAGAGGAGAGGAGAGGAGAGGAGAGGAGAGGAGAGGAGAGGAGAGGAGAGGAGAGGAGAGGAGAGGAAACTGAGGCTCAGGGAGGCTGAGCAGCTAGCCAGTATAATACCCTTGTGTGTGCTGAAATTAGAACTTGGTTCCATGACACCAGGCCACCTGCCTCCTGTCCATACCACAGCTCCTTCAAAAGGACATTGTCATTAAATGTTTTCATATAAATTATAAAGCTTTTAACTTGAGGCATTTTTCTGTTTTTTATGTTAGATACACTCTGACCTTGCAGAAGAAAAAGGGATAAAGATCACCTACAAGTACACGGGGAAAGGAATTACACAGCCGCCATTTGGTATCTTCGTCTTCGATAGAAACACGGGAGACCTGAACGTCACCAGCATTCTTGACCGGGAAGAAACACCGTTTTTTCTGGTAAGAAGGAACAATTGTATCTTTATTTATAGTTCTTCTCTGGTGATAATGATTTGTTTTATGGTTATAAAACAATTATATAGCAATTGATTTGCTGTAGCAAATTTGTTAATGTTCATGTCACAATTTAGCTGACAGGCTATGCCTTGGACTCCAGAGGAAACAACCTGGAGAAGCCCTTAGAACTACGCATCAAAGTTCTGGACATCAATGACAACGAGCCAGTGTTCACCCAGGAGGTCTTTGTTGGGTCCATTGAGGAATTGAGTGCAGCACGTAAGAGTGTATTTCTTCTTTTAGCTCTTTGTGTTGGTGTGTGTGCACTTGTCCATGTGTGCACCACTTGCATCCAGGTGCAGATGGGGGCCAAAACAGGGCATCAGATCCCCTGAAACTAGTTACAGGCACTTGTAAGCCGCCATCTGTCAGCTCCTTGCCAGCAGGTCCAGGCAAGAGGAGAGAGATCCTGGTCCCACCAGGTCTCTCCAGGGCTGAGCGGAATGGTGAGTGTTGACAGCCCAAAAGAAACACACCAGGCCAGGAGTCTTGTCGAAGCAGGAACTCAACTTTAATGCATCAGCCTCTCACTTATATAAACTCAGAGCATAGGGAGGAGGAGTTTTGGTGGAGTGAGATGACTTAGTGGGCAGGGAAGGGTGAAGGAGAGTATGGGGTGACTGACAGGGCCAATGGCAAAGCTCTAGATCAGCAACAGTAGGGCAGAAGCAGGGCCACACATGTCTTGTTGAGTCACCCCCCGGTACAGAAGACAGGTCTCAAAACTCAAGACAGGTCTCAAAACTCGAGCCAAGTTTAGGCTCTCCCACAAGGCCAGAGAAACTCGAGCCAGGCTCGGGTTTGCCCACAAGGCCCAAACCAGGGCAGAAATGGGGTCCAACAACCACCTGATCCATGGATGCTAGGAACCAATCCTGATTCCTCTGCAAAAGTAGCCAGTGCCCTTAACCACTAAGCCATCTCTCTAAGCCAAAATAAGTTTCCTTTCTTTTCTTTTTTGGCTGTGGGGATATACAACCAGATCATTTATTCCTCATATACAGAAACACAAAATTCTATTTTTAGAAAAGGTTGTTACTCACTGGAAGTGTGACAATAATGAACCCCTTACTCCAGGCTCAGGCCTCTTTTATTACTGTAAAATGATGTCCTGAAAAATCATGATCTTTCAGAGAAGATGGTGGACTGGAACACTGTTGTGTTAAGGTCTCCATAGCAACTATTCAAGCCTGCACTATAAAGGGAAGTTGGCTGTAGACACTATGCAAAATGAACAGGGCTGTGTTCCAGTAAAACTTTATGAGCAAAAATAAGCAGCCTCCTGGTTTTGGGTTACTGTGGGGTGTCAGTGACCTCTGATTTATATTATTTTTTCTGTATGCTGACAACATTGCTCAATGCAGCAATCTAAGGCACAAAAGACAGATTTCTCTTTAATGATAATAAGAAAGTATAGCTGTACTTCTCCTAATTTGTTTGCACCTGAATAAGCATCCAGGGGCATGAGTGGTTCTCAGTCTTGGCTATTAGATCCAAACTGTGGCCCTGATATGGTGATTTTCCATTTATTTCTACTTTTTATGTTTTTCCCTACTATTTTCATGCATGGAAGCAGAGAACAACCTGTGAGGTTCAGTTCTCTTGTCCCATCCTATGGTCCCAAGGACCAATCTCAGTTCAGCAGACTTGGCAACAAGTACCTTTACCCCCTGACATCTCTTTTTTGATAGTGGTATAGTGAAATTCTGATAAGAACCTCAGATCCTTGCAGGAAACAGCTGGAAAAAAAAAAAAAACAGAAACCGATTTGTAAGAGCACTTACCTCCGATACCTTTGTTCCTAATGGCAGATACACTTGTGATGAAAATCACCGCTACGGATGCAGATGATCCCGAGACACTAAATGCTAAAGTCTCCTACAGAATTGTCTCTCAGGAGCCTGCAAATAATCCAGTGTTCTACCTAAATAAAGACACGGGGGAGATCTATACAACCAGTTTTATTTTGGACAGAGAGGTAAGTTAATGTCACCTGTCACCCTCTTTCTTAACCCTCTCTAGTTTCTCACTCCCTCAATTTTTATGTTCTAATTTTAATTTGCTCTGTATTCCTCACTCATGGAATAACTCAGACTTATCATGTAGTGATGTGATGCCCAGTATGACAGTTACTAGCAACGTATGCTATCGAGCTCTTAAAATGTGAGCAGCCTAAATAGAGGTGCATTGTGTTCATATTGAAATGGGACTAGCACCAGATTGGGAAAACTTGGCATGAAGACTACAATTTTGCCATATGACTCACACATGGAGCATGGCCCAGCCATTGGAAGACAGAAGCAGAAAACTCTCCACAAGCTCAAGGCCAGCCTGTTCTATGTAGGCAGTTCCAGGTTATCCTTAGCTACATAGTGAAACTCACTTCCAAAATAAACACCTGGCATGATAGCACAGGCTGTTAATCCCAACATTCTGGAGGCGGAGCTGCTGGACATCCATGAGATTGAGGCCAACCTGGCCTCCAAACTAGGAGTTCCAGGCCAGCCAGGGCTACATAGTGAGACTTAGTCTCAAAAACAAAAAGCAGACCTAAAAAGTTCATAATAGAGAAAAGTGTTGTTTTAAATCTTAAAAAAAAAAAGAAAGAAAGAAAGAAAAAAGAAAAGAATATTGAGAATTTGAGTAGTTTCCTAGAAAGATTATTCTCTCAAACATTGCATTTTGATTTCAATTTTTTTAGCTTTATGTATATTGATGTTTTACTTACATATGTGTCTGGCACTACATATACACCTGGTCAGAAGAGGGTGTCCGATCCCCTGGGACAGCAGTTACAAGACAGCTGTGAGCTGCTCTGTGGGTGCTGGAAATCAAACCTGAGTCCTCTGAGAAAGCTTCCGGTACTCCTAACCATTGAGCCATCTTCTCAATCCCTAATTCTAATGTTCTAATCAAAGGGGAAATAGAGAATCTTTAAGTGCCACATACACAAGAACGTTTATAGTTTAACAAGAAGTTCTATAGTTTATAGAAAGGTAATGTATTGGAGATCCTGAGGGTACTGCAGCGTTATCAGATGTAAATTTTAAGCAGGTGTGTTGTGTCATGTTTTGGAACCAGTTGTTCACACGGGAAGGACCTCAGCCAACATTCCTATTGAGGTGTTTGTGAAATTTAAGAATATGGCCAATGACACCTAACTTCTGTGGCATGCTTTCACATAAAACTGGAGTGGGAATGAATTCCTTTGAGCAAGCTGCTGCCTCTGGAGTGTGGCCATTGAGCTGATATTCATGGCTGACACTTATCGGGCACTTACCTGGAGTATCTTGTAAACAAGATACACATTGAAACCCTGTGAGGCACACCAGCTCTTACTCCCGTCTTACACTTAAGGAAACTGAGGCTCTAAGGGGTTAAGCAAGTGTCCAGCCGAGAGCTTCAGAGACACAGCTCCCATTCATACACGGAGTGGTTCTGTCCACATGGACTCTCCCTCACTGATGTGGCTGCTAAGACCCTCAAATCCCAGACACACTAGTGTAGCCCTAGCCAGGAGGGCACATATATGAAAAGGGTCCCTCTCACTACTGTCCTGCCTTGTGCTGTGCTGTGCTGTAGTTTTTATGTTTTCTCATATAGCTAAGGTAGACCAGGAACCTCTGTCTCTCCTGCTTCCTCCTCCAGAAAAGGGTACATTATTTTTGGTTTGAGATTTTTTTTAAGTGCTTTGAGTGGCATTTTTTACATTTCAGGGCATCTGTGAGACATGTTTCTAGTCTGGACCCCCAGCCAAGTCTTTCTGACTTAGCGTTTAACTTAGATAAAAAGTATAAGAGCAAAACAGAAGCAACCATGCACCTCCAGGGCAGAGCAAACTGAAGCACGCACAATCAACTCATCTCCTAAGACTATCCCCGGTGATGCAGTTGAGGGCTATCAAAATCTCCCCACGCTTGTTCTGCCCCTCTGTAAAAGCTCTGACTGTGTATAAATATAAGTAGCATCTCCACACCAGTAGTTGATGACCACAGGGTTACTTATGAACGAACTAGACTGAAATCCATTTCCTAAAGATAAAGTGAACGAAAACCCAAACAGCCTCCTCAGGAGCTATTAATATCCACCTCAGATGGGTCTTCTTCATTTTTTCTTGTTCTTCAGGAATACAGCAGCTATTCCTTGACAGTGGAAGCAAGAGATGGTAACGGGCAGATAACAGACAAACCAGTGCAACAAGCTCAAGTTCAGATTCGTATTTTGGATGTCAATGACAATATACCTGTGGTGGAAAATGAAATGGTAACTCCATTTATAGTAGATTTACTATTTCTTGAATCTCAACTAAAAATATACTATTGCATTACTAAAAGCTGTGTTTGTGTTCTGCAGTACGAGGGGACGGTGGAAGAAAACCAGGTCAATGTAGAAGTCATGCGGATCAAAGTGACCGATGCAGATGAAGTGGGCTCCGATAACTGGCTAGCAAACTTCACATTTGCGTCGGGAAATGAAGGGGGCTATTTCCACATTGAGACTGACACGCAGACTAATGAAGGGATCGTGACCCTTGTCAAGGTAAGTTGTGAGTGTCCACCACCAGGGTGGGACAGTGGCTATAGGAGAGACTAACATGTTTTGAGCGCCATACTCTCATGGGTGCTTTACACATCAACTGGTACCAACGTTGCTCAGGATCAGGAGCATCCTTCCTAGTGCAAGTCATATGGAAAGAAGCAATCACTACAGCCAGATCAGGAACTCAGATCCCAGGCACACACCTTGTATTGCACACTTCCAGGCAGCGTGAACTCGATGGGCCAGGGCTCAATCACTTGTCTCTCAGAGAAAAATCTATCATGTAAGGGCTGCAGTTTGAAAGAAACTGCTCTTCTGTGCTTCCTGGTTATCAGTGAAGGCAAACATGAATTAACTAGTCATACTGAACATATGAAATTCAGGGAATAGCTCAGTGGTAGATGGCTTGCCTAGCATTTGTGAGGCTGTGGGTTCAATCCCCAGTTAAGTTAATAAGTTAAAACTTGGTTGGATACGGTGACTTGTACCTATAATCCCAGCACTTTAAGGAAGGACTGTGGAAAGTTCAAGAGCAGCATAGGCTATACTGTAAGTTCCAGGCCAGCCTGGGTTATAAAGTAAGAACCTATCTTAGAGAGAGAGAGAAAGAGAGGGGGGGAGAGGGAGAGGGAGAGAGAGACAGAGAAAGGGAGGGAGGGAAGGAAGGAGGGAGGGAGGGAGGGAGGGAGGGAGGGAGGGAGGGAAGGAAGGAAGGAAGGAAGGAGGGAGAATGTGGATATATTCAGCTCTCAAAACCTCCACAGAGCTTTTTAAACAAAAATCCTAAAACAGCTTTGTCTGTGTAACAAAATAAGGAGTAACATTAATATACTGTAATTGACTATTATACTTACCTAGCTTTAAAATTAAAAGCAACATCTTTTAAATACTATTTCATTAAGCTGCAGATAAAAATTACCTGCAAATTTGTGTCTCTCAACTTACGTGTGTGTTTACTCATATGAATATATATATTATAGAATATGTATGGTATATATAATATATACTGGGTAAATCTAAAAGTATCATGTGAGGTTAATGCGTAAATAGAAAAAAAGCTAGCTTGAGGTTTCAGTCCTCCCCTTAATAATAAGCTACAATATGCATTTAAATGGCCTTCTTAAAAGTAAAAGAGGGCTGGAGAGATGGCTCCGAGGTTAAGAGCATTGACTGCTCTTCCAGAGGTCCTGAGTTCAATTCCCAGCAACCACATGGTGGCTCATAACCATCTGCAATGGGATTTGGTGCCCTCCTCTGGTGTGTCTAAAGACAGCTAAGTGCACCCATAGAAATAAAATAAATACATTTAAAAAAAAAAGCAAAGGTAAAAACATTATCCCAAGTTTAAAGGGAAGACAGGTTTTTATGACTTGAAGAAATTAGAAATAGGACCAGAGACCTAACAAACCCGTTATATAGAAATAAACACAATTTCAAACCGTCAGTTGTAGGTCCCACCAGTGGCAAAAGCCAATGGACCCATGTTTTAGCAGGAGCAGATGAATTATATACAGACAACCCCAGGTGGGAAAGCAGAATTCACATGCACATGGAAAGAAACAGTTGATAAATAACAGACAATCTAATCATCTACAAAAAAGAGATACAGTTACATGCACCAAGAGAGGTGTAGAGGAAAAGACTGAACTTGGCTGGAGATGATGCTCAGTCGGCAGACTGCTTGCCCGCCATGCATGGCCCAGGTCATGTGGTCAGTGCTGCCAGCACCATAGTAACCAGATGCAGTGGTGAGACACAGGAAGGAGAATCAGGAGTTGAAGGTCATCCTTGGCTACATAGTCAGTGTGAAGCTAGCCTGGGCTAAGTGAGATTCTGTGTCAAAGACCAACATGTTTTAAGTAAAATTATTATTATAGAAAAGCAACAGATTGAGAAAATTACAAATGTGATGTCTTGAAAATTGTAGAGAACCTTGGAGTCTGCTCAAGATACCACAAGTTGAAGTTCTCAGCACAAAGATTTATTTGCTCCAGGGGAACGAAGGGCAGGGAATAAGAGACAAGGACAGGAAAGAGGACTAGGGAGAAGAGGAGGGAACAAGGGAGAAGGGGTTAGGAGACAGAGGACAGCCTCTGGACAGAGAGGAGACAGACATGGCCCATAGGCAAATGTCAGTTTATAAAGGTAAAAGGGGAAATCCCATGTTAGGATTTTAATTTTAACTCCCACAGTAGGCGTTTGATTTTAATTGGACATGTTAATTAAGTGAGCCAACAGAGGTTTTGATTGCTGGACTTCAATATTTTGATAACTGGACCTTGGTAGTCAGCTTGGGCGGAGGAAATGGAAATTTCCAAGTAAAGGAATGGACCTTGGGGACTGGTGTTTGGTTCGGACAGAGACTAGGGACTAAGGTGCATGTTTTACATATCAAAGCAGACCTGGCCTCCAGGTTCTCTCAGCATCCTTTGGTGACCTACCCTGCCTTCAGCCTTGAACTTTCCAGCCCTGTGGCTGGGCTCGCCTTCCACCAGAGGCTCCTTTGTATATGATCCAGACATTTTGGCCTCTTGTAAGTGGCCCTTCTCCTCTTCCTCCTCCTCCTCCTCCTCCTCCTCCTCCTCCTCCTCCTCCTCCTCTTCCTCCTCCTCCTCCTCCTCTTCCTCCCCCTCCCCCTCCCTCTCCCCCTTCTCTTCCTCCTTCTCTTCCTTCTTCTTCTCCTTTTCTTCTTCCTCTTCATCCTTCTTTTTCATCTCTTCCTCCTCTTCCTTCCTCTTCTCTTCTGTCGCACTCTTTCTCTCTTTCTCTCTCCCTTCCCCACCCCCCTCTTGGCAGCTCCCAATGGCTTGCTTAGTCTGCTTTCTTATAGAACCCAAGACCAGTAGCCCAGGAATGGCACCACACACTGTGGACTGGGCCTCTCCCATCAATCACTAATTAAGAAAGGCTCTTTCTGCTTTCTACAGCCCAATCTCATGGACGCATTTTCTTAATTGAGGCTCCATCCTCTCAGATTACTTTAGCTTGTGTCAAGTTGACATAAACTCTCCAGCCCAGGACCATGTACTCACTCCATAGCCCCATTTATCAAAAACAAACTCATGGAATATATTATTGAATAATACTCTTCATTAAATGCCTATTAATTTCTCCTTTGAAAAAAATCACCTTTGCTTGTTAAAAATAAATATGCTTCTGAAAATAACTGTGACCTTTTACCAAAATAAACTGAAAGTACTTGCTTATTGGTCATGGTGATTCTGGCCACTTAAGGAGCATGTGAGGAGGAGAGGCAAAAAGATAATGAAATGTTCAAGGCCAGTACATCGTGAGTTCCAGGCCAAGGAAGACCTTCATGTTTTTGTCCCCAAAATAGTAATAATTATAAGGGCCAGAGGTGGTCAATGACTCAAGGAGAGTGTTTTTTTGCACGTGTGAATGCGCAGAGACTGTGACAGCATATGCAAAGACTGTGCATGCTGAAGCCAAGCAACTTCCCAACATGGAGGGGGAAAGGTCAGTACAAAGCCCTACCCCACACTGAGGAGCTATCGGCATCTGACGGCTGCTAGAAGGGGGTAAATCAATTTTCTTTAATGGTGTGATGCCTAGTATATTGACCCGGTATCGTGACCTCATGACCAGAATAGCTGAACAGCAAGCACTGGGCTCTATGGGTTGAGAGAGAGAAGAACAGAGTAAGAAGAAAGTGGGCATGCATCTGTGAGGAGTTGTGAGATGGGGTTGAAATTGGCCAAAGTGAAAAATAAAAAGAGTGTGTGTGTGTGTGTGTGTGTGTGTGTGTGTGTGTCTGTCTGTCTGTGTGTCTATGTTTTGTGCATGTGTGTGTGTGTGTCTTTTGTGTGTCTGTCTGTGTCTTGTGTGTCTATCTGTCTGTCTGTGTGTCTGCATGTCTATATCTTGTGTGTGTGTCTCTATGTGTCTATGTTTTATGTGTGTGTGTTTCTGTTTATGTCTTGTGTGCCTGTCTGTCTGTCTATGTGGTGTGTGTCTGCATGTGTGTATCCTTGTACACATCTGTCTGTGTCTGTGTGTGTGTCTTATCTGTGGGTGTCTGTGTGTGCTCATGTACTCTGGCTTCCCAGCATTAACTCTGGCTTTGTTTCTCCAGGAAGTGGACTATGAAGAAATGAAGAAGCTGGACTTGAGCATCCTTGTCACTAACAAAGCAGCTTTCCACAAGTCCATTCTGAGCAAGTACAAGGCTACGCCCATTCCCATCACTGTCAAGGTCAAGAACGTGGTTGAAGGCATTAATTTCAAGAGCAGCATAGTGTCTGTTCGAGCTAGTGAGGCAATGGATAGATCTAGCCTCAGCCGGTCAATTGGGAAATTTCAAGTTTTTGATGAAGACACTGGACAAGCAGCTAAAGTAACGTAAGACATAGTTGTGAGTGTATTTCTGGGTTTTGATTACCTTATGTGCCTGTTTTATGAAATGACTGTCTTTAAAACTCACAACAAAATCTAAGCAGCTCATTCCTTCACACCCCAGAATTACTTTGCCAAAGGTCTGAGAAACCAGTTTCTCAAAATTGAGCTTGTTGTTGAAGAGAGGAGGGAGGTGGAGGGCATCCATCCTGATAGCCATCCCTCAACTCCTCAGACCCTCAGACCCTCGACCTCTCGGCCCCTCTGCCCCTCATGTGGAGGCTGGGCTGGTTACCTCTGAGTCAGCTCTGGTAGAGAGGACTGAAAACCATCTCAGAAAATAACTGTAAAATTCCCTGACTTCCCAGCATACTAGGGGGTGAGGAAGTAGCAGATAAGATTAGCCATCTGCTCAGGATGCTGGCGCATGCTTATAATCCAGTACTGAGGAGGCTAAGGCAGGGGAATTCTGAAATCCTGGCCAACTTGAGCTACACAGTGAGACAGTGTCTCAAATAAGTGAATGAAGAGAAAGTCTTGCTACAAATGCCACTTTACAAACACAATTTTTAAAATTGTTTTACATGTTCCAATATGAAGAAGTCATTTTATGTACAAATCTATGTTGAATGTTTTGTATCTGTATTTAAGCCACTTTATTTAGTTCAAGAAGGGGTGAGCTTTTTTGTGTGTGCACTTGACTGTATGTCTGTGCACCACATGAATTCACAAGCCCACAGAGATTAGAAGAGGGTGCGGAACTCCCTGAACCTAGAGTTACAGGCAGTTGTAAGCTGACCTATGATGCTGAGAACCAAAGCCAGATCCCCTCCTAGGTCACTAAGCACTCGTAACCACTGAGCCATCTTTCCAGACCCTGTGAGCTTGGGTGTGTATTGATCACAGCAGCCATTTCTTAAAAGATTTGTTAAGAACTGAGTGGATGCTGCCAGTGTGCTAAAAGGATTTCCTTGTGTCCAGTCTACAGTGATAGTGTACACTGGCATACTTCAAAATTTTCAAAGTGAATCTCTGTCTTAGCTCTAGGGTTTCACTATGAGAAGAACCTAACACAAAGCTGATTTTATGTAGTTATTTGGGTTGAGTTATTTGGCTGCTGAGACAATAGCTTTGGAGGACTTTCTGTTCAGTGCCAAAGATGCTGTCTTGCTCATCTGTCCTTATGCCTGTGTCCCTGGGTGTTGGTGTCCCATAAAACACCCCATCTAAAACTAGGGCCCACTGTGGTAGACAGGGAAAGCCAGAGAAAGGTCCCAGCTGTCTGTTCCCATTTCTGTCTGATCCTCCATTAGTGGAATCTATCAGCCGTAGAAGAGATAACTCTTTCCTAATTTAATATTAATAAGTATCTTCCACTGTTGCCTGAAATCTCCTTGTAACCATCTTTTACTGATGCTACCTGTGGGGCCAAGCTGCTCCTCCCAGGTGGATGGTCTCTACTTTCAGCCTCCATGGCTCTCTCTGCCTGATAGGAGACCACAGGTCTCTAACTGAGACCACAGAATGAGTGATTCTGTGCAATTTCTCACTACATGGACTGAGAAGCTTGTATGTTCTGATAGCAACCTAGTTGAAAATGGCTTCCTGATTTTTTTTTTTAAAATCTTGTGGCTATTTTTATCAGGGCCTATGACTATCATCAAAATGGTATGTGTTCTTTGAACGGTGATAAGCTGTTTCTTCCTCAAAACAGTCTTATTTCCTTTCTTTAGCATGCAATTATAAAATGTTAGAAAGGGAGCACCCTTGACCATGGCTCACACATGGGCGTCTTCATAGGTTCTGGGAGACACAGCTAACTTAGATCATTTAGTGAAGTCTTCATAAGAACTCATGTGTTTGGCTTGTGTTTGTATTTTTATTTGCCAAACTCAATACTACTCACTGCAGTACTAGTAAGAGCATGTTCTCTCTGCTGTTTGATTTTCCCCACTTTCAGAGAAAAAATCCAGGAGTTCAGTGATTTCATTTTTAATAAATTCTACTTGAAAGTCATCATTCCTGACACTATACAATATTTCAAAATGTTGAATTCCTTCCATTTAAGTCAACCACTTAATTTTTCAAGTTATTTTTACATACTGGCAATATCTCAATAGACTATATAGCATAAGCCTACCCTACCTGCCTTGTGACATTCAAACCCAGTGTGTATAACAAGGCCATATGTACTGGGATAAAAGTTAAGTTTGAAAGAGGTACAGATGTTAGTTCCAATGTATCCAGAATTAAAAATGAATTTGATGTTTGCTTTGTAACAGATATGTAAAGGTGCAAGACACTGACAACTGGGTCTCTGTGGACTCCAACACTTCAGAGATTAAGCTTGTAAAGATTCCTGACTTTGAATCTAGACATGTCCAAAATGGTACCTACACTGTAAAGGTTGTGGCTATATCCAAAGGTAAGTTTAATAAACAGAGGGTTTTCTGGTTAAATGCATTTAGATTTTATCTTCCACCACCAGAAGTGTTTGTTCTGACTGTATAAATGGCTCTCTCGTCAGTGGGCCTGCACATTTTTGCTTATTTAGTGACTGATAGGAACCCGAGAGCCAGCTGTGGGAGATATCCTCTGTGCTTAGCACCCACTCCTTATCTGATTGGCTTCTGTACTGAAACTGTGTCCATGGTCAGTGATACACTCAGAAGTCTGAACTCTCTCCTGCTTGGTTTCAAGATCATCCTCAAAAAACCATCACTGGCACCGTCATTATCACTGTTGAAGACATCAATGACAATTGTCCCATACTGGTGGACTCAGTACGGAGTGTCTGTGAGGATGAACCATACGTGAACGTCACTGCAGAGGATTTGGATGGACCCCAGAACAGTGGACCATTCAGCTTCTCTATCATTGACCAGCCTCCTGGAACGGCACAGAAGTGGAAAATAATGCACCAGGAGAGTAAGTACATCAACATCTAAATAGTAAGCGTGATAGATACCTAAGAGTTTATGACAAAGGCTGACTGTTCTCTCAAATGCTATTTCCAGTATATTTTTAGGCCAAGCATAATGGCACACTATGAAAAATCCCAGTCCTGGGAGGCAGAACAGTGAGCCCTCCATGAGAGCTCTGTGAGTTCAAGGCCAGATTCATCTATATCAGGAGCCCCAGCCCCACTAGAGCTACACAGTGAGACCCTGTATCAAAAACAGTAGTCATGATGACAATGTAGACCATGTGTCTTCTCTCAAATCATACTTCAGTGCATCCCCAATGTAGTCTTTAAGAGGGAAATAAAATGAGGGTCTGAACTCTAAACCTAAAGTAGTTCCTTAGTTCCTCATATAGACCTGTGGAAAGTAAAGATGGTCTGGCTTGTCTTAAGGAGGTGGAGTTTTCTCCAAGTATCCTTTCAAGTGCTTCTGTCTTAACAAGCTGAAGAAACTAGAGCCTTACTGTGTACAGCAATTATACATTTGTGAAGTGCATTCATAACAATCCTGTTTAAAATCACATTTATTGAGCATGTACTGTGTGCCACGCCCTCTGCATACACTATCTCATTTAATCCTTGCTCAGTAACATTATTTCCTGATGGTGGACTAGGATGCTGGCCTAACTGGGTGTAACAACTTGTTGAAAGGCACAAAACTAGTTTGTGGTAGAGACAATCTGGTAAAGGGTCTGAAACACGTGCTAACCTGATGCTGGTAGACACAGTCAAATGCTTGTATCTTGACCATGTCCTCTTGATGTGATCTTTTGGGTGTACTTAGGAAAGTCTCAAATACAGAAAATTCTACCCACAAGACTATTTAGCAAGTAGTGTACATTTGAGAAAAGATTACAACACAGTTATCAGTAACTATCTATAGCTTACCTTAAAATAATTCAGAGAAAGGTTTTGTTTGGTTTTTCTGCTATTTGTTAATATTGATTGATTTGGTTTCGGTTTTTTGGTTTGTTTTTTGTTTTTTGTTGTTGTTGTTGTTGTTGTTGTTGTTGTTGTTTTAATACAGGCATACAAATGTTCTCACAATCCTACTACTTAGGAGGCAAAGGCGAGGGGATTGTTTTGAGATTAGCCTTTACTACACATCAAGTTCCAAACTAGCCTGGTCTCCATAGCAAGGCCCTGTCTCAGAGAAACAATGTCAGCAGGAAAACCCAGTGGGTAAGAGAAGGTCCTTGCTGCCAAATCTGATTAGTGATTCCGCACCCAGGACCTGCCTGTAACCTCCACAAGCTGACCATGGTGCTGGAACACACAGAGAGAGCCGAGTCCACACTAAATAAACAAATGGAACTTTCTTATTTTGCAATATGACTTCAACAATTCCTTTATTGTTTTGGGGTTGTCGTTGTCATTGTTGTTTCTATTTGCTTGGTTTTGAGACAGGATCTTCCTCTGTTGCCTGTTCAGGCCTCAAACTCTGCTGTTGTCCTGCTTCAACTTCCAGGTGCTAATGTCTTACTTTGTCTTTTTTCGTGTGTCTCTCACTGTATTAAAAATGCGTGTTTAAATAACATGAAATGCCATTACCAAACTTTTTAACAAAAGAAACAAAACAGTAGGTATATAGAGAGAAGGTACTGTCACAAAAGAAAAGACCAAAATAAAAATAAGATGGGCTTATCCTGAAAATTATCAAAATTGGGGGTAACATCAGGCAGTTTCTGCTACATTTAAAAACTACTTTGATAGCTTCTTTTTTAATAATTGGTAATACAAATGTCCATGTTATTCACAGAAATGTCATCACATTCCCACTTACTGGAACGTGTGGTGATTGTTCCTAGCATTTGGTGGACCACACCCATTAGCTAATCTAATCATCGTGAAAGTTGCGTCCAACCCCTACCCTCTGCTAGTTAATCTTTTGAAATCTGTGGACACATTTTTTGGTGAGCACAGAGAGTGAGCACCAGGAAGAGCTGGGGAGAAATGAAGCTTCCACCTAAGGCCACATTAAGACCCATTCCATAGATTAATTTCTCTTCCCTCAGTGTTTATTCTCTTGCGTCTCCTCTCTGGCAGGTACCAGTGTGCTGCTGCAGCAAAGCGAGCGGAAGCTCGGGAGGAGTGAGATTCCCTTCCTCATTTCCGACAGCCAGGGCTTCAGCTGCCCGGAGAGGCAGGTCCTGCAGCTCACCGTGTGCGAGTGTCTGAAGGGCGGGGGCTGTGCGGCTGTGCTGTACCACAACTACGTCGGCCTGGGCCCCGCCGCCATCGCGCTCATGATTCTGGCGCTGCTGCTCCTGCTCTGTAAGTCTGTGTTCCCAGGGCCTTGCGTAGTGTTAATAGGTCTTCAAAAAGGACTTGCCACGCATATGCCGCGTGGATATAAGGTTGTTTTTACAAACACAGTTTATTCCAATCCAACCGTGCTTGGCACACTCAATTCATTGCATCTCAATTCGGTGGCTGCTCGGCTTGCCTCTGGCCAGCACCCACTGCAATCAACCCTTTCCTAAGCACACACACAGACACACACAAAAGTGTGGTTTGGTTCGGTTCGGTTCAGTTCTGTTCAGTTCGATTTGTTGGGATGGGGCTGTAGAGACAAGGTTTCACTCTGTAGCTCAGACTGGCCTCAAACTCACAACAATCCTGCTTCAGCCTCCCAAACATGGGAGAATTGCTAAGTACTAGGGAGAATCACAGGCATGTGCCTCCATTCTTGGCTGCTTTTGATCACTCTGATACATATCTTTTTTCTTTTTTTTTTTTTTTAGACAGTAGACTTATCAAAAAAAAAAAAAAATGGAGACACTGGTTTAAATGATCTCATCTAGTCACAGTGTTCTGCTTGGGGGCCAGAGACAGGCTGTCTGTCATAAGGAAGACCTCTGAGCCAGAGGACTCTGTCTGCCTCTGGGCTTGGGTGTAATTCAGCTGAAGCAAGATTGGAAAGGTTGGATTAGAGTGAAAAAGACAGAAAACATAAAAATGAAGCTTCAAATATGTGAAGAGTGGCTTTGAGAACTCAGATGTGAATTCTAGTTGACGTGGGTTTAGCTACTAAATGGACCTCTGACTCCACTTTGCTTTGTACAGTGGTGCCACTCATGTTGCTGATATGCCACTGTGGAGAGGGTGCCAAAGGCTTCACCCCCATTCCTGGGACCATAGAGATGCTGCATCCTTGGAATAATGAAGGGGCACCCCCTGAAGACAAGGTCAGTTTTCAGACAGTGATGTGATCTCCTACCGGTCTGATTTTACTGGGGGACATGGGGAATTTGAACAGTCTCGCTCTGTAACTCAGACTAGGCTTGAACTCAAAGCAATCCTCCTGCCTTGAACTCCCAAGTGTAGAGATTACAGCTGTGAACCATCAGCTTCTTTTATGAGTGTCTTACTTAGAGGGTGTCAGCAAAAGTTTTTGTCATGAGAGACTGACACAGCTATTAAGTTGTGAAATATAGACATCAAGAGTTGGCACTCAGCTTTTAAAGTCCTTGGCATCTGGGAAGGGACAGTGTCTGTAGGACTGAGCCCGACATCTGTAGGATCTGACAGTGTCACAATTAAATCGAGGGGCCCAACTGGTGTCCACTGCAAAACTGACCACGTGCTTGCTGGTGAGGAAAAGGCCCAATCCCTTGCAAGGTCACAGGAGCCTGTCTTGATGTTGCAGTGTGACGATGAAGACAGAGCACTAGTCATGCACATGTCTATCCGGCAGTAGTCATCAGATCACGTACGCATGCCTTTCTTAAACAACAGGTTCAAGCAATAGCATATTCTCGTGCTTGCCAGAGCGGAGTGGAAAGGCTTTGGCTGTACTGTGGTATGTCCTGTGCTAGTGAGAACGCAGACCAGAAGTCAGAAGGTGATCCTAGCTATGTAGAGCAAAGGACAGGGAATGCACCCCATTATTAAATGGTCCTTTCAATGCCAGGTTGGATTCACTTCCATTCTCAGTATAGTCAACTGACAGAGGAAAACTCCAACTCCCAAGGTGCTTATGAAGTTATTACTACAGCCAAACAAACAAACAAAAAAAACTGACAAAGCGAATTAAGGAAGAAAAGGCTTATTGCGTGAGAGATACAATCTATCATGGAAGGAAGGCTTGGTAGCATAATTGTTAAGAAGCTGGTCACTTTACGAGAGCAGACAGGGGGTGGTGTCAGGCTATAAAACCCCTGCAGCAAGCCACTCCCTTTAGTGGAGCTCCACCTCCTAATGGTTCCACACTCTTCCAAATCATCCCACCAACTGAGGACCAAGTGGTCAAACACACGAGCCTATGCGGGCATTCCATGTTCAAAGTGCAATACAACCCTATAACCCCAGTAGTTAGGAGACTAATGGAAAACAATCACAGATTCAGACCAGTCTAGACTACACAGTGAGATTTACTCTCAAACAACTAAACAAACAGATAAAAATAACTGGGTAAATGTGGGTGGTGCTGGATCGATCAGCATGGAGGTCCTTCAGCATGGAGGTCCTTCAGCACGTGCCCCACTCTACCCTCTTCCTGCCCCTCCACAGATGTTTCCTCCCAGACACTAGCTCCTATCCTCACACTAGAGCAAGCAGCTAAGACATTATGAGCTGGCTCTGTAAGCACATATTCTACAAGGTGTAGATAGCACTTCTTGGTCCTCTTTGGTCGGAAGGCAAGAGACTCTACCTTGTAGCAGTGGAAGATTGGAAGTACACTCCTTATTTTGAATGGCTGTATGTCCAGCTGAAATTTCAGTTTTGTAACTGTCACACAAGACCCTAAAGAAGAGGCAGGTGCCATTGGTTCTGGTTAAGAGGGTAAACCAAGACCACATAACGAAATCTGGGCCTTGCGTCCTCTGGTCGTGGTCAACTCTAAAGCAGGAGGGAGAAACCCTTTACAAGGCTCCAGTAGATGTGTCCCCTCCTGGCTGTTTTCCTAATTTGCTTAGGAGGAAATAGCTCACCTCTCATTCCATCCACTTAGCTCACATCTTCCTGCTAAGTACACTGATCGTCCCTTTGTCCTTCAGATTCATTTCTGAGCTGTGTTCTCCCCTAGGTGGTGCCATCGCTTCTAGTGACTGACCATGTCGCGAGCTCAGCGAGAGGCGGCGCCGTAGGAGGCGCGATGCTCAAGGAAGGCACCGTGAAAGGCAGTAGCTCAGCTTCCGTTATCAAAGGGCAGCATGAGCTGTCTGAGGTTGACGCAAAATGGGAAGAGCACAGAAGCCTCCTCACTATTAGGGACACTCACCATGCAGGGACAGCAGGAGCCGTCGCTGTCGATGGAACCATAAGGACAACAAGAGCCACGGGGGCTTCCAGAGACGTGAGTGGGGCTCGAGGAGGAAATGTTGCCGTGAATGAGGAATTCTTAAGAAGTTACTTCACAGAGGTAAGCACTGGTTTCTATGAATGGTGAGGAGGGAGACGTTTATATCAAAATGTGAGATTCTAGATTACTAAGTGGGCTTTTGTTAGGGATACAGTTAGTGGGGAAGTTTTATGGTGTGTTTTGATTTGTTTTGTTTTCTGAGTTGTGTTTGCAGGCGATGAGAGAGTTGGGACCCATTGAAATAGCCAGTGGCAGGCTCAGTTACTCGGTGCTAACAACTGGCCCCATAGTCTGCGTAGTTCTTATCTTCATGTTTCTAACCTGTCGGTTTGCTCCTGCTCTGCTCCATGTCATATTCATTGTAAGATGCACACTGAGAGCACATTGACCCAGGGAAGCTGCCATCCTGTGGCCCAGGAGAAATGACAGTGGCAGAACCAGGCATCGGCTCGGGTGGCTACGTGTCTCCTTGCTGGGACTAAGCACCTGACAAACACATCTTTTTTTCCTCTTTTTAAAAATATTTATTTATTTTATTTATGTGAGTATATTGTAGCTGTCTTCAGACACACCAGAAGAAAGCATCAGATCCCATTACAGATGGTTGCGAGCCACCATGTGGTTGCTAGGAATTGAACTCAGGATCTCTGGAAGGGCAGCCAGTGCTCTTAACCCCTGAGCCATCTCCTCAGCCCCTGACAAACACATCTTAAGGAGGGAAGATGTATTTGGGCTCATGGTTTGAGAAGTTAATGACAGACCATCATGGTGCAGAAGGCGTGGTAATGGACACATGAGACTAGTCAAATTTGTCGTCATGCAGGAAGCAGAGAGAGATGAAAGCTGCCTCTCAGCTCGTTCCCTTTGCTCTCCTTTTTATTTGGTTGAGAACCCCAGCCCTTGGAATGGTGCACCCACACTTAGGATGATGACTCTGCCCTCCCAGTTCAAACCTCTTTGAAAACTGCCTCAAAGACACACCTAGAGGTGTTCCGCCAAGGCAATTCTAAATCCACTCAAGAGAGTAATAAAGATTAATCATCACAGGCTCTTCTAGACTCTACCCCCTTCACAACTGCATTTCCTTGGTCAAAGAAAGTCATGTGACTATGGTAAGTGACCATGGGTCCGAAAATACAGCCCCTCTGAGGAATAAACACACGAAGGAAGACAGAGATCATAGTCTAAAACACTCAGGCTAATAAATCCACTTGCATTTTTGTTTGGGGGGGGGTTGTTTGTTTTAATTGATTTTATGTGTATGGGTGTTTTGCCTGCATGTGTGTCTGAGTGCTGTGTGTCTGCATTTCCAGTAGTGGCCAGAAGAGAGGGCCAGAACCCTGGGACTGGAGGTACATGTGTTTGTGTACTGCCATCAGGGTGCTGGGAATCAAACCTGGGTCTTCTGAAGAGCAGCAACTGCTCTCGAGCACTAAGCCATAGCTCTAGCTCCACATTTTTGTAATTTATATAATAAACTTGTGACTCTGAAGGGAATTCACACACACACACACACACACATGAATCCATTAAAAAGTGACACAAAAGATGATTCTATGTCATGGCTTGAGATTAGCAATAGAAAACAGGACTAGAGATAAGCATTTCACCTAAACAAAATTTATCCCAGAATATTGTTCATTACCAGACAGAACCAAAAGTATTTATTTTATTTCAGAATGGAAACTAGTTAATTCATGTAGAAACGTAACACTCCTACAGATGTTGGTTCTTTATGACAGGAATCCAAAGCCTTAAAGCAAAAGCTGCTAGAGAAATAGACAAATCCACAGTTATAGTCAGACGTTGAAAGAAGCAGGCAGGAAATCAGCAAGGCTGTAGGAGAAACAGCAGCATTGTCAGCTGGCTGGATCTGGTTGACATGGTAGGACGCTAGGTACCACAACAATCTAAATAGGTCTGGTAGCATTGCAGGATAAGTACTTTAACTCAAAAAAGGAGCTTAAGGCTCTATATTCAATTTCCAACCCCACACATACCACAAATAAAGAGAACTGGAATTTCAAAGCTATCATAAGACTGTCCAAAGAATCAATGGCTGGAAGTAGAGACACATATATGTAATCGTAGCACATGAAAGGCTGAGGCAAGGGGATCCAGGAGTTCAAGGTTATCCTCAGCTGCATATAGAATTTGAGGCTAGCCTGGGATACATAAAATCACATCTCAAAGAGAGTAGAAGTTTTCAAGCGTATCCATTGTGTATATGGATTTCCACCAATTAGCGTTTGGCATTATTTTCCATTTGTTTTTTTCCATTTTTGTCCCTCACTCACATAAACACGTGTGTGCCTAGAATGCAGTGTGCATATTCTCTATTACACACAGTACAGCCAGCAAGATAAGAAACTTAAAGTTAGTACAATGTACATTTCTGTTTAGACACTGATCAGTTCTATAATAATGAAAGCCTTGTAAAGCAATTACGTTTTCTATTCGGTGTCTAATTGGGTTACTAAAACACTATTCACTTTTAATCTGAAGTTGTACTCCACCCTTTTTTCAATCTTTCATGTTAGTATTTTGTGAGATGACAAACCAACTATGACGTAGGATGGCTTCAATGTGCTTCTGTCATGTTTTCTCATAATTAGACTCAATTTCTTTTCAGTTTATGCATTATATCAATAAATATCAAGCCTGATGTTAAGTGAACTTGTCTGGAAATGACCTGTCTCCGTTCTTATTTTTGTTTAGAAAGCAGCTTCCTACGCTGGGGAAGATGACCTGCACATGGCCAAAGACTGCCTTCTCATTTACTCCCAGGAAGACACGGACTCTCTCCGAGGCTCCGTCGGGTGTTGCAGTTTTATCGAGGGAGAGCTGGATGATCTGTTCGTAGATGACCTGGGGCTTAAATTCAAGACCCTAGCTGAAGTTTGCTTAGGTCGAAAGATCGATATGGATATTGACCAGAGGCAAAAGCCGGTCAGAGAAGCAAGCATGAACGCAGCTCCTGGCTCACACTACGAGCAAGTGACAGCCAACTCAGAGAGCACATACTCCTCTAACAGTGGCTTCCAAGCCCCCAAACCTCTGCATGGAGCACACACAGAGAAAGTCACACAGGAAATTGTCACTGAAAGCTCTGTGTCTTCCAGGCAGAGTCAGCAGGTAGTACCGCCACCTGATCCTGTGGCTTCTGGTAATATTATAGTGACAGAAACTTCCTATGCCACAGGCTCAGCAGTGCCACCCAGCACTGTGATCCTGCCTCCTAGACAGCCACAGAGCCTTATTGTGACAGAGAGGGTGTACGCTCCAGCCTCCACCTTGGTGGGTCAGCATTATACCAATGAAGAAAATGTCCTTGTTACGGAACGAGTGATCCAACCTAATGGTGGCCTCCCTAAGCCCCTTGAGGTCACCCAGCATCTGACAGATGCACAGTATGTGATGGTGAGGGAAAGAGAGAGCGTCCTCGCTCCCAGCTTAGGCGTGCAGCCCACTGTGGCAATGCCCACTGTGGCAGCGGGAGGACAGAATGTCACCGTGACAGAGAGAATACTGACCCCTGCTTCCAGTCTGCAATCCAGTTACCAGATTCCCAGTGAAACCTCCATCAAGGCTAGGAAGACCGTGCTCTCTAGTGTGGGAGGCATGGGCTCCCTTCCCCATTTAGAAGTAGAGGAATCTGGTCATCCCAATTCTACTATAACCACATCTTCCACCAGGGTCACCAAGCATAGCACCGTGCAACATTCTTACTCTTAAAGAGAAGCCAGCTGCAGTCTGATCCAGAGCTTAACTAGCTTCCACTGGGTGTGTGTTTCCATGCCCCTGTTATATGAGCCACACAAAGACTTGCACGTTGAAAGAACTCATTGACATGCCAAAGACTCGGTGCCTCAGGTGGGGCTGTATTTCAGAAATGCTCTGTCATACTGGGGGATAGAGTTAAGATGCTGGTTCCTAAGTGCCTTTTAATGCGCTGTGCAAGCAATACTCACAAACAGGACACGTAAAATTGGCTTCCAAGAACTTGCCAAATTAAAGCACAGTTTCTACTAGTTCATCTGGTCCAGAAAGATAGGTCTGTGCACAATGCATTTGTATTCAGCAGGGTCCACCCCTTGTATTACAGAACCACACAGGTTATAGGTACCAAATAGCACATCTACCCAGGGACACATCTCCACTTTAAGCCTTCAACTTCAGTTTCTGGTTCACTTCAACACTGGGACCCTTGAATACAACCGAGACCAGAAAAAAGAATGAGAAAACACTGGAGCCCTTTTTAATTGTGTAAAGTTGACAGAATTTTACAGCATCCTCAGGATGAGAATACATATTGTGTATTTTTCTGCACATAACATGTCCTGTGAACTTAAAAAATGACTTCATGTTTCTCCTCGTTTATCAGAGGTCATGAAAATGTTGAACATTTCAAATTAGTTTTATAATCCATCATAGCCAAGTGTGGTGGTGCATGCTTTTAGTCCAGAACTCAAGAGGCAGGCAAATCTCTCCAGGATCTAGGCCAACCTAGTCTATATAAAGAGTTCAAGGACAGCCAGGGCTACATAAAAAAACCCTGTCTCAAAACAAAACAAATAAATAACAACAACAAATGCTAGTAATAATCCAGGATAAGATTCCTACTTAACTTTTCTGTAACGTGATGGTAGTCTATGAAGAAAAAGCTCATCAGATATTTGTCTCTTAGCTACAAGTCAGTGCACTTAGAGTTGGACAAATGACCAACTGGTTGAGAGCACACTGCTCTTGCCGAGAACCTTCGGTTTCTGACATCCAGGTACTTAAGCTCACAACCACCTCTAATTCCAACTCAGGGGATCTTGTGCCCTCTAATGGGCTCCAAAGACATTGCACTCACACAGTTGGGTGTAGTTTGTGAGCTGCCATTGACTGCCTTCCATCCTCAGTGCCTCTCACAGGGCCCAAGCCAGTATCTATGGGTCAAGAGAAGTTCCACAAACCACTCTTTTACAATTACTCAAATATCAAGAAGGCTCAGTAGTTCCATAGTTCTGAATTATGACCTTTACCACCTTGACAGCTAAAAGACTGGTCATGACTTGATATACATGAAGTAAACATTTTATCATAAAACCCTTGACTAACTGGCTTAATCTCATTCAACTTCCTTGTCTTGTTTCTTTGAGTAAGCTGTTGTTCGGATTGTGCAAAACACCAATGGAAAGTATTATATAATAAACCTCTGCTTTTAAAAAATAGTTTTAAAACCTATACATGTATCAGTAATAATTTATATCCATGTCTCCCATCTTTAAAAGACAATGTTGAAAACCATCATATTTCTGGATATTTTGCTAGGAAAGTGAAATTCTACACTTATATTTTTGTAGACTTTTTTAAAAATGTTGTTTACATGCATTGTGTTATGAAAAAATGTTATACGGTGCACCCTAACTGTGATGCATGAAGTGATTTTATGCATGGCTGGCTATGTGGGGCAGAGGTCACCTTATTCCTATGATCTGGAATTGTTTACTTTCTACAAAGTAAGCTTTTGGGAATTTTGCTTTAATTTTCTTTGTAACTGATGTTATTTTACAAAGTGTGCAGATGGAATTATACTACTGTGTGAAGTTATAAATATATCCCATGTGAAAAAAAAAAAAAAACACCTAAAACTCAATCTTGAGCTCCCTCTGTGGGTGGGTTTGGGGCCCCACTTCTCTTTGTGCAGGGTATGATCTTCCTTGTTCCCAAAAGGGTGATTTGCATTAGTTTTTACATTTGTTCCTTGGGAGGATTGCATTTGTGTGTGTATCTATGTAAAATATTTTAATAAAAAGGCCACTTTCCTTTAGAATGACCACTCTCCATGTCTTCCTACTGACATTTTACAGATTGTTACTGTGTGGCAAAAAGAACTTCCTGAAGGCAGATGTTTCTTGGGCTTTGTTATTTAATATGGTCTGCTTTGCTGGCCCAGCCAGCCTCTTTGAAAGAACATTGCTAAGAAGGGTAGTTACCTTGAATAGTGACATTGAATAGTTGTACATCCAGTGGTTTAAATGCTGTGCTCTTGACATGGAATGGAAATCTATCCCAATCGACCCAGGATTAACTGAAAATGTGGTAAATCAGACATGTAGTTAATATGCCCGGCCCACCTAATATTGTAATACATTTCCGAGCAAATGCATGTCACTCTGGCAGTACCCTGCAGTTGAATCCTCTAAGTTTGTGACTGGTCATATTATTTATCTAAATTAAATTTTAAGCAAGTACCATGGTTACACTTCTGTCTGGTTAGTCCAGCAGCTTTATTCTTAAGGAACTGAAGGTCACCCTGACCAGAAACTACAGGAATCTCTTATAATTTACCAGAGAAGGAGAAAGCTCCCCCATCTGACCCAAAGAGTCTCCAACGTTTAGAGAGAACTGTTTTGGTTGCCTGTTACTTTTCACAACAAAAGATATGAGTCACCGCAGCAGCAGAAGAAAGAAGCCATTATTCTATGCTGGGGCTCTAGGGAAATAGGTATTAATGAAAGGAAAAACAAGTCCATTAGCATGTATAAAGCACAAAAAAAAAAAACACTTTAGAATTGAGCAAGTAGGAAAAAAAAATGTTTAGAATTTGGATTTGTATTCTTCAGAGCAAAGTTTTAAATAAATTTAGCAAACCACTTGTTCAAAGAATAACCCATGGCATGGGGAGGGGCTAGCCTTGAATCAGGCAAAGATTAGAGAATTCCAGGGAACATGGGCAAACAGGATTTACAATCAGTAAAATGGATGCTCTTGCTTGCAGACTAGTATACAGAGAGGTATCCTGTGATTGGCTGAGGTTAAAAAAAAAAAAAGTAAGGCTTCTTTGTTTTTACTTAGTAATCAAATGTCATTTCAGTATGTAAGTACTCAACTTATGGATGCCCCTTTGAGCCAAAATTAGTTTAACTGTATAACTACTTGGGCTGACACAAAAGAAGAGCCATGTGGATTTCTGGCAGTGGTCAAGAGAAGACCACTGGGACAGATGCGGTAAAGAAGGGAAGGTCTGTCCAAAGACTGGTGAAATCAGTTCCTCCTCCAGCAACATGAGAGATGGGCCTTATCCTGCTCTTCCTGGTGGGGGACAGATGCCCTTACAAACATAATCCACCATTTCCTACAGAGTGAGTTTGAGGACAGCCATGACTATACAGAGAAACCCTGTCTCAAAAAATAAACAACAACAACAACAAAAAATGTTAAGAAAAGATTGTATTTGGGGTGTAAGATGCCTGTCTGTTCTAGGCCTGGCAGTGTTCTATGTCCCTGGGTCCATTCCTTTGACAAGTATATAACAGAAGGTTTTCTTCTGCTGTTTCTTTGGAAGTCAGATTCACCTGAGATTCCTGCACTAATTCTGCCAGTGACAGGGGTGGTAATATGTGTGCTGAAGGAAGCCACTGCGTTTCTTTTAACACCTGACTCTTCAGCACAGGGCCTGGTTATAACATGACATCCCTTTCTTTATGCCGGCCCATGTCCTACTCAAATGTTGCCTCCCGTGCCTCACAACGCTTCACATCCCTATCATGTAGCCCCACTTACTAAAATAAATTATCATTGTAGTCATTCAGAAACAAACCCAAAAGAGGGTGAGAATGGACCGTCACTGTTACCCAGATCACAAAACCCACCAACCCATGAGTGAAGTCAAAGAAATGGGACAAACATGTGTACCTGTTCAAAATCCAGATCTGCAAGACTTGATGGCATATGTGCACCACCTGTGATCCCAGGTACTCCAGAGCCATCCCTAGAAACTGGTGCTGCAAGACCAGCCAGGGTAACCAGGCAGGGAGTGAGGCTCGGAGAGCCTTGGGTCACATCTTCAAAACAAGCAGAGAAAAAAAGATAGCTGTAGAGAGAACAACTGAAAAATCCTTATTCCCTTGCTAACGCTGTCCACGACATCTTTCCCTGACACAGGAATATTCCAGTGCCATCATTATACTATCAGGACACACACCTTTGGACAAAGACTTCAGATGCTATTCAGACTTGTGACACATGAAACTCTATGCACAACTACACGTAACAGAGCACACATATGAGAAAGCCAGTGCTATTGAACTGAACCAAAAAGGTCACACTCTGTGACGTAAAACCCCCAATTCTTTGTAGGCATAATGTTTTCATACACTGTGTAAAGGTTGTGCTTGTGTTATTCAAATGCTGATTTCTTCATCCTCGTATCTTGTTTCAATCCAGATGTGGCTTTGCCACATTTATTCTTAAAGCTCCTGCCTCAAGTTTGAAAAAACATTGCTCCTCATTCATTCTCTGCCTTGTCAATAAAAGCCAATGAACCAATACAGAGCTTTAGGGCAAGAATGGGTGGGACTTACGATTCTAGGAGGGGTGGAGAAAGAGAGAGGAAAAGGGGAAGGATCCATGAGGGAAGTGCAGAAAAACAACAGGAGAAGAGAGCAGAACCAAGAAAGAATGAAAGTTTTCAAGTAAGATGGGAATATTGTCTGGAGGAAGCCTGACCAGCCTAGAGGTTTAGAATGGAGTGATGATTGCTTGGTATTTGGCTCAAGACAATTTTAATAAATCTGAGTCTCTCCGTGTGGTTATTGGGAAAATAGCTGGATAATGAATAGCCACCAGATTAATCCAGTTTACATTTATATTAAAGATAATTCTGTTTACAATTCTTTGCACGATGTGGTCGTTGAAGCTACTACACTGTCTGAGCCCACTTCCTCCGACAGAAGTAGATCCTCTCTTGATCAGTTGTCCCTACTTCTGCTGTTACTGTGTCCACACCATTCTGTGTTCCCAGACACAAGAACTTGGTACCCACTGAGCCCTAATAGCAACCAACACCAGTAGCAATGAGACCTCTATCTAAGGGAGAGGAAAAAACAGTTAAATTTTGCCAAAGGATTTCAACTGTGTTTGCGGATTATGCCTTAGCCTCTATTGTGTACAAAATGTCTTCATGTGTTTCAACACTTGCTCGGCTCACAGTGTGGGGGGTTGTGAAACCTTTGGGAAGTTGGGCCTCATGGAACAAAGTCAGTTGCTGGGCAGTGGCTCTTAGGGTGTAAAACCTGACCCAGTTTCCTGTCTCAACTTACTTCCTGACCTTCTGAGATATGAGTGAAGAAGTACCTTTTGTCAGCATAGCTAAAACTTGTGTTCATTTCCAAGCCTCCACACCTACGACCACCACTTTTACCATCATGGGCTGTAACCTCAAATCATGAGCCTCCTTAAGTTGCTTCTGCTCAAATATTTGCTCTCAGCAATAAGAAAAGAAACTGATACTTACTATAACTCAAGTGTGTTTACTTTTACAACCCCTCTGGAGTTGGACATTTCTGAATTTTGTCATGACCGACCCCACCAATGGCCACTTCTGTCATCGTCTGAGTTTTACATAGGATCCAAGAGACAACAGTAGGTTGACAGCCCTTGCGGCACTGCCATGAGAAAAGTTGGGAAATGCACAAAACAAAAAGGTTGTAAGTGCTTCCAAATATATCTTGCTAGATAAGTCCCACAGGAGTTGGGTTAGCTGTAAGCTATGAACACAGTCACCTAACATATAAATAACTCATATGAAAGAGAAAGACAGTGGCAGGACTCTGGCAGAGCTCGGTTCAATCACTGGTGGAAGAAAAGAAACAAAAACAAAAAAGAATTACCCCCAAAACACTTAGCAGTAGCAAATATAATATAGGTGCTATGCACATAGTGGCCACAGGATGGCACTGTGCATGCAGAAAAGGGGAACGTCAAACAGTAATCTAGAAGTCAGAAATCTGGTAGATTCATGAGCAACGCAAACTGGCAGAAATGGGTCCTTTCCTTCAATATGGGCCTCCCAGATAACATGAGGTGCTTTAACATTGATGGCCAGAGACATGGCCCAAAGAGTAAAACCTCTTGTCACACTAGGCTGACAATTGAATTCAAGCTTCCTTCATCAGTGGAAGGAGAGACCTAAAGGAAGCTGCCCTTTAACCTCCACACAGGCAGTCATGTGCTGCTGCACTCCCACACTTGAGTGCACACATACACACACACAGTCACTCACACACACACACACACACAGTCACTCACACACATACATCCACAATGACAACCACACATACATTTTACACACACACACATACATATACAAATTCACACAGTCACAGATACTCACACATACACTGACAGACACACACTCTCACACACTCACACATACACACACTTACACACACACATATACTCACAGACTTTTACACACACACACACACAAACATACTATGCAAAGGAAAACCATTTTAAAAACAAATTGCCTACCATTCTTGATGGTGAAATACACAATGCCTTCTGAAGGTCACTCCTGTATATTTGCTCACCTTCTAAATGTTGCCACTGAAGGAAAATTACATGGATAGACAGTCACATAACACAGCCTGGTTGGGGGCAATTTTGAGAACAGATGTTCACTTTTTCAGCACAGCTGTGTTCAGTTAAACAAACATTGGTTGGTGCCTCGCTCTGTGCAGAGTATTCATCCATGATTTAAGTGCAACCCTTGGCCCTCCTTGCCCACAGGAGAGTGGAAGCAGGAGTCATAAAGAACTCATTCTGAAAATGGAGGCCAGTGCTGAAGAAGCCACCAATGACAAGATGGAGGCTGGGGGTCACGAAGTGCTGGAGTGATCATCTGGTGGTATAAGGCCTTGGGTTCAGTATGAGGCAGAGAGGCGTGGGAAGAAGAACAAGAGGAAAAAGAGGGAAGAGAGGGAAGACAAGGCTATCAGAAGATGTTCTCTTAATTTCCCTGTCACGGCCTACCCCTCAGAAGCAGAGGGA